GGGGGGGGGGGAGAGATCTCTTATCTTGGATTTGAGTTAATACAGTACCTTACAGAGAAAAGGGGCAAAACAATAAACAGATGTTTGTAATAAAAGACCAGAACAAGGTAGATTGAAGTCCCTTTCCAAAAAACTGAAAGGTTCATGTTTCTTTTACCCAGAGGTTAGTTTTAGACACATACAACATGCTTTTAGAAAAAGATATTACTGCATTTACTCAAACCCACAGGAGCAGCCCTCTACAACTTCTGCCTCCCTACCCCTACCCCTACGCCACCCCTGCCAAATTTCTCTCCTTACTGTCAGGCACTGCTCAGCTCCAGTTTGGGCTGGACTCGCTCCCGGACACAGAGTACAGGGAAACTCCATCCTCTGGTTGGCCAATTGGCAGTGTTGCTGCTGCTGCGTGGCCCAACAAGGGCTGCACTTCTGCATGTTGTGCTCCGTGACCTGGCAGGGAACAGAAACTGAGCTGTGTCTGACAGTAAGGATGGTGGGAGGAGAGGCAGAAACTGTGGGGAGTGCAGGGGAAGGGGCAGAGGCTGTGGGAATGTAGGGGAGGGGTAGAGACTGTAGGGGAGTTGGGGGGAAAGGCAGAGATTATGAGGGAGAAGCAGAGGCTTTGGGGGTTAGGGGTGCAAGTGGGAGGGCAGGAAGGCTGGACGAGGACAAAGAGGGGGCTGAGGACAAGGGAACCACCTGACCCCTCCCCCACTGCTTTCCCTGCTGTAGCAGTGAGAGGTGGACAGACTTAAGACAACCTCTGCTAATTGGATTCTATACCTGGAAAATTATAATAATTTATAAATTTTCCATATATAGAATCTAATTATTTGGGAGTTTGTCTTAAATTCATGGTCATCTTAGATTTGAGTAAATACAATAGAACCCAGAAGGGCTTGCTCCCTGCTTGCCTCAGTATGAAATGTTTGGATTTGCTATACAGAATTAAATTCAGAATAAATCTTTTTGACAGGCTGAAGCACAGCAGTTTTCTTTGCCAGAGGAATCGATTGGTAACCTTTCTGATGGAATTCAAACTGATATGATGGAGGAAAGTTCACCTGCATGGAATGAACAGCTGGAGGAAGAGCTCTTTCGTGGTAAATCTTCACTCACTCTGCTTTTACACAGTAATTTCTAGCATGGGACTAGGACTGAGATTGGCTTTAGATGTTATAGACACATCTCATTCCTTCCAAACACAGGAATTTCATCTCTCTGTAGCTATTGCAAGTTTAATACACACATCCTCTTGCATCTGTAATTCTCATTGATAATGAGATACCATAAGGCTGGGGAGAGCCTTGTGATTTGTAGAGCCATAAGCTGCAGGAGGAGCTGTGGCCACACCTAGCATTTGCTGCAGGCATCAAAAGAGTTTAGTGTTTAGTCACTTTGGCTGCCTATACACATGCTGGTTCATGTTCTTATTCGAATGCATCAAGTCTGCTCCACGTTCTAATTCGAATGCTCCAGTGTGGCCTCCCTCTCGCGTGTATAAGCCCCCCACAGGTTTAAAAATGGCCGCAGAAGAACTTTATCTAAACCTAGTTTTTCCCCATAAGGGAACTTTATCTAAACCATTTTTATACCCACAGGGGCTTAATACACATGATGTTGAGGTGTTTTAGTTGGAGCAGCTGCCCAGGAACCACTCTAATTTAAATGCCCTCTGCCCACCCCTGAGCACTAGTCTAGGCATCCTTCCTATTTTTCTGGCTCATTGTTGGTAAGACCAAACCAGGTCAGACTCAGATTGGCCTGTGGGGCATAAAGAGTTTGTTCTTCTATGAATCTTCCTGAGCCACTCAAGAAAAAATGCTCCTCCTGCAGCATTATTTTCTAATGCCCACATGACCAGGAGTTATACCAGTCAACAAAACAGGTCACAATATGGGAAGAGGATTAGATTGTGACAGTAAGTAGAGCGAGGTAGCACGCAAGAGAGTCTAGATCCCTCTGGAACTCACGGATTTTTCTATATGTTCTTGAGCCATCCTTGTGCACACAATACTCAGAGGCCCTTCTTTACTCACTTCTCTGGAATTCCCAGCTTCCTTGTTTGAGAAAAGTATTTCAATATTCAGCTGTAAAGTGATGTTCATAAAATAGTAGGATTCCACACAAGTATTTGCTTACTTGTGTCATACTGGGCTCTCTCAGGGCCCCTCTTTCTCAGCAAGGTGGAGAATCTGAGTATCTCTTCTTATATTCTGTTTCATTGTTATACATCTTAACAATGTGCTTGCTTTCTCAAAGATGCAACACAGCAAACAAAAATTGGCATTGAGCTGTCCATGGCATTCACGGCTTTTAATTTCATTCATAGAAAAAGAAAGGTGGGTCAGTATCAGGAACAGCCAAAATCCTACATTAATCACTGATGTAACTGCTAACTGTTCAATTCCATATGTGTGCATACTGAACATAAGAGCCTGCCACTGCATAAATTATCCAGTTGGTTGAAGGTGTGCTTTAAGTTAATTCCTTTCACCACCGACTTGCTATTGAATGTCGTGGTTAGCTGGGATAAAGTCTAATGTTTAATCCCTGTTAAGCAGGTTAGTGTATAACTACAGTTTTGTTGATGAGAGAATATCACCGGTTTATATATATAACCAGTCAGCCAATCTGATTTCCTCTAATTCAGAGAATGTTGTTCCCTAGCTCTGGTTGTTAATCATTGAAAATGAGCGATGCACAGTACGTCCCAGAAGTTCTTTTTATTCTAAAGTCAACAAACAGAGGACATGCTACTTTGTATATGTGTTTAAATGCTGTTACCCAGAATGCTGTTCCTACTTACAGTTATGTCTGTGGTCTGGGAATACACAGAACAGTCTGAACATGTTTAGTGACATTAACAAATTCTTTTTCACTTGTTTTTCAAGCTAGAATTGTTAATGGCTCTTCCTACATTTTGCTGGGGAGTAAACAAACAGTGCAAGTTATTTTTAATAGAAAAAAACTAGCAATAGCTGGTAGGGCTGTGCGAAGCTTCGGTAGCTGATTCGATTCTGAGGAAATTCGGCCCAGTTCAGGGACCAAATCTCCAAATCAAATCAGGAGACCAATTAAAAGCTCTGAATCAATTTGAAGCATCCGAATCAATTCAGAAAAGCTTTGGAAAAGATTTGGCTGCTTCGGAGATTCAGCCATAGACTAAACAGGCAGCTGACACAGCTGCCTTCAGCTGGTAAGTCTGTTGGGCTTGCGGGGAGGGGATTGGGGCTGGGTCAAGCTGCCCAGCTGGGGCAGAGAGGACACATTAGTCAAGGAGGAGGGGCGGGGTGCAGGATGCAGGCGCAGCAGTGCTCAGAGTGGGGGCTGTCCCGCAGCTGGGGGAGCTGCGGAAGAAGCCCCCATGGCTGCCTTGCCCGGCCCCAGCCTCCCGGCATTTAAAAAAAAAAAAGGTAAAAAAAAAGCTGGGTCTGGAAGCAGCAATTAAGGCCTCTGAGGGCTCATGGAAGAGTCCCCCTTCCCCACACAGCATGGGGAAGTGGGGGGCAGAGGGGATCGCCCCCCCTCACACTTGGCACCCACATGGCAGCTGCGCCATGGCGTGGCTGCAGTGCGGCTCAGCAGGGCACTGTGCACTGTCTGGAAGCTGGGGTGGCTCCACACATCAGCCAGAACAGTCCCAGCTCCAAGGGAGCACAAAGCGCCCTGTCAAGCCACGCTGCACCCACGTGATGTGACAGCTGCTGTGCGGGTGTCAGATGGGGGCGGGGGGCGGTGATCCCCGCTGCCCTGCGCGGCACAGAGAGGCTCTGCCACAAGCACCCAGAGGCCTTGTTTGCCACTGCTGCAGCCAGTGAGTACAGGGCTTTTTAAAAAAAAAATGTAAGTGCCAGGACTAGGCTGGGGCCAGGCAGGGGATGGTGCCAGGCAGGGAAGCCATGAGGGCTTCTCCCACGGTTCCCCCCGCCCGGACAGAGGCAGGCACAGCCAGAGGAGCTACAGGAGAGCCTTCAGCCACCCGGCTATGCCTGCCTCTCCCCAGCCACTCTGAATCGCCGAATCTCTCCAAATCAGCACAGAATCTTCCGAAGTCAATTTGGCTGAATTGATTCAGGACAGTGATCAAAATCTCCAAATGGAATCAGTGTCCTCCGTATCAGCTGAATCTGAATCCGAATCAAATACTTCCCTGTTCACACAGGCCTAATAGCTAGGTAGAGGGGCAAACACACAATTTCTTCCACAGGTGAGTTATCCTTTCAGTAAATATCTACCATATTAGGAAGGGGAAAAAATCTGCACAGTTTCAAAGTACTGCAGATTTTTCCCCTTCCCATTATGGTGGATAATCATTGAAAGGATAATCTCTATGGAAGAAATTATATGCGTTCGGTAGAGGGATTTGAACGTGAAGAAGCTGGCTCCCTTTAAAACCAATTGGGGCCACTGATACCGAAAGTTACACTTTTCAGCCTGAATAGTTTGACCATTCTGATAAAATAATCACATTTTTGTGTGTAGTTTTAGATGACCTGGACAACCAGCTGGCACAAGAACAAGTCCAAGATCCAGTGAACAGGAGGACTCCAGTGAACGTTGAATCAAATGCACAATGCAGTAAGCCATTACCTGCCACAAGCAGACAAACTCATATTAGGGGACGACATAGAAATGACTGCAGTGGAACAGCCAACTTGTTTTTCCTTGATGGGATGAGAACAGTAAGAGCCAAAGATGAACATAATATTTTCTGCAGAACAAGGAGATGGCACGATACATTCATAAACAGGCAACACACAGCCTCTACAGAGGATTTTATGCACAGTGATTCATTTGACTTAAATTCCCCTGTTTTGAACAGAAGGCTGTCTTCTCCATCTTTTGGACAGTCTTCGGAAGGCAGCTTACATCTTCCTTCCATAACACGGAGCAGTGGATTTGTACACCAGGGTTATATAGACAAGGACACAGTTGGCAGAAGTTACTCTCTCTGTTCTCTCATGAGACGTCCATCCTTTGGCTCCTCAGATCAGTTTTCAGCAAATAGTTTACAACATCCATTGGTAATGGGTAACAGTGGCTTTGTACGAAGAAACAGTCGACAAAACCCAAAACGAATTCCTCTGTCTTCTATAGAATGGAACAAGCCATATTTTTCTGAACACCCAGTAAATCAAGACAGACTTTTTAAGACCCAATCGTTAATTGAATGTAATTCCACTCAACATGGTATGTATCCCTGTCCTCCACAGGAAAGCAGAAAATATGAACTTTCCCACTCAAAACACCATTACAGAAGTGCTTTATCAAGTACTAATTGGTTTAGTAGGATGAGTTGCCCTGACAAAGCTTCTGCTCCATCGTACTTTGAAAATTGGGAGAATTATCCGTTCTGTTGCTCAGAAAATAACCTCCCTGGGTACCATTATAGAGATATTACTTGTCATGGGAGTTTGCAAATGCATCGAGATAGTGCTCCCTGTGGAAGGAGAGAGAGGCATTCTTCATGGTCTGATATTCACCAGTACTACAATGAGGATGCTTTTCTTTCCCCTGAAGCTGACTTTGACATTATTACAACCCATTTCAATCTCTTGCAAAATGCACATGCAAAGAATGCTGCACCATCATCACCATTTGTTTCACAGCACCATCAAAGCAACTTTCAGACACGGTCCATGAATAACATAGAACTATTAAAGGGTGCAAATGCTAAAGTGCTTCCAGAGTTTACAAGAGATCTTAAACCCTGTTTCACATATAACCCTGCAATTTCTTTGTCTGACATCAAAACAGATGCTTCTCGTGAATCTTTCTACCTTGGTTTCAGGGACCAAACAAAACCCATAAAACAGAATAGTGATTCTGTCACTGAGATTTATCAGAACCAGCCAAAGCCTGGGGTTATCCCAGCAAATATTAAGAAATACTTTAAAAAAACTGCTTCAGAAAAGGAGAGAAGTATGGAACTATCAGGGGAGGCAAACCAGGAAAATAGTAAAATGACATCATTGCAGCCAGATTCTCAGCAAATAGATACAAATAGCACCGATTCCCAATTTCCTCCCTCTCATAACTCTGCTGCTGCTGCCTTGCAAAACAGCACCTCTCTTCTTAATTTACCGTTTGCAGTGAGATCAAGGAGAAAGCCCCACATCACTGCCAGAAGAAGGGATATTGCAAAAATGTATATGTCAAGCAATAATAAAAGAAATGTGCAAACAAAGGAAAATGATCACCCTGCTAACAGTGGATTTAATCATACCCCTCCTCTTCTATCAGCTGATGAGAACAAAAAGGAATTGTTTTTTCTGAATCAAAAAAAATGGGAACATAATTTCCATAGTTCAACAAAAACAAAAAGAATTGAATTAGAAAGCCAGAGAGCAGAAACTACTGATCAGACTGGTCCTAAGAGACAGTCTTTACTGGTAGCTGATCTGCAGAGTAATGCATCAGTCCATTCTGTTCCAATTACTGGAAGACTGGCAGAGCACCAAAGCAAGTTATCCAGTGCTCCACAACATTCTGGTTTATTAAAAGGCTTTTCTTCTAAGAGCTCTTCTCAATGTTTAGAAACTCCTACTAATTCTTCATTGAACTGCACTGTTACTGAAGCTCCAGCAGAAGGTGGGAAAGTTGCTCAGTTAAGTGCTGTAAGTCTTGGAAAAGAAACCCTGCAGGAAAAAAGCCAAGATGTAAATGTTGTAGCTAATGAGGACCAAAATAAAAAAATAACCACCAGTTGTCCTGAGAACAGAAATTCTGAGCATATTTATGCATGCTGTTCTGACAGACCCAAGATCACTAAACATGGTTTACATTCTTTTTGCCAGAAAAAAGAAAATGGAAAAACAAGAGAAAATAATGCTTGTGCTGAAAGTCTCAACAAGCCAGAAGACCTACCGAGAACTACAACTAACAGCGGCATTACTGGCTCCCCTGATAAAAACAAATCCACATCTTCTGTGCCACTTGTACCTTACCACACCTTACCTAGAAAATCAGCCAGCATTGCTGGCAGTGTCATATCAGCTAAGTTGGTCTCTAACCCTAAAAGTGAAGTCCCATTCAAAAGTGAACTCAACATGTGGGATCCTTTAGAGACTTCAGACAGAACTGATGCCTTTTCTCCTAATCAAGGAGGGAAAATCTCTTCTTTAGATTCAGCACAAGTCTCTCAAACAACATCCCCGTTCCATGCCATTGCAAACATGAAAGGGCATCAAACTGAGGACTACCCTTTGCCTTTAACTCAGCAGTTTAACCACCCCTTACATTATAGTGCAGCTGTCTCCAGTTCAGATGAACTTACAGGTAGAGCTGCAGGTCTGAACCGAAGGGAATCCTCTGTATTTCTAGAGAGTCTAGACAAGGAAACAAATTCTTTACAAAAATATAAAACTACTAGCACATTTACAGTTTGTGTTGATGAGGATAATGTCAAATATCATGAACTAGTTTCAGTTTATTACACATTACCATGCAGGCATTCAAGAACATTGTGTAACCTCTTTCAAGACAATCCAGAGAACACAGATTTACCACTTCACTTGGAAAAATTTCAGTGGCCAAAAATGTCAAAGAAGAAGTCTGAAGCCCGCATTGGTTTAGCAAATGTAGCTTTTCCTAGCACCTTAGAAAAAGAGGAACCATCCCATTCTCCAGCTCAAATACCTCCAGCTTCAGTGACTCCCCAGAACTTAAAGACTGCTGCTGGCAGTGCTAAATTAAGCTCACAGTTATCTCCCAGCCCTCAGGAAATAGGTACTTTACCATCCACAAGCTTTGTATGTAATATGAAAGATATTTCACCAGAGCCTTCATTAAAAGACAGTACTCTTGTACTTTCTGATATAGTGACAACAGATGTTTCTCTTGGTGATCCACAATCCATAATAGCAGATAATTCAGTTCAGGCCATTTCTGATGTTTCATGCAACCAAAATACTGGACCATGTCTTTCTTCAGTTAATGAAAAAGAGGAACTTTTTCAAACTGGTACACAAATAACTTCCATTTCATCAAAACCAGAAAGCATTCCAGAAAATTTGTTTTATCCTGTTTCTTCAGTTAATAATGCTAACAGTGTACAGAAGGAACACTCTGAAAATTTCCTGCAATCTCTTAAAGTAAGTGGAGGTGATCAGAATATGTTACTGCCCTGCTCAATAGATAATAGTTCCCGTGAAGAAAAACACAACGTAGAACACATAGCCACTGAAGCACCAATTACCCCTGCTGAAAGTAAATCTAGGTATGATGCAGAAGTCCAAGGAGGAGCAGATCTTCCACACTCCATCACTTCCCTGCATGGTAATAAAGGTGGTGGATTTCCATTAACAGCTTACAATTCCAAAAACAGCACAGATGAAAATTTAATCTCTGATAAGATGCTTTTAGATTTGCTAAACAAAACATTTCAGTTAGGCACAGCTTGTCCAGCTAAACCAATATTGCAGCCAGACAAAACTGGCATAACTGCTATGAATGAGTTAGAGAGCCCAACAATAAAAGAAAAGCTGTTCCAGCATACACAGATGGACAAAGATTGTACTGGCCTGCAGAGACCAGTGAAGCACTATGAAGATAACTGGAGTGTTGATTCTAAAGACAAGTTCTTCCTTATTTCACAAGATCTTCAACTGCCAGACAACTCAGTAAGTGAAGATAAGCTTCCCCCCGATAGCACAAAAGACAGGCTCAGTGATATAGAAAAAAGGAAAAACAGACCTTCAGTTAAAAATAAACTGGCAGCCATCTGCAAAACAAGTCAAAAGTACTCTAGTAAAAATTTGCTTCCCAAACCAAACAAAAGTAATATCTTTTCACAGAATGAAGGAGATGCTGCTCCTATAGAGATTATCATGTCCAAGGGTACATTTATTTCAGCTGATTCCACCCTGTCGTTTCTGCAAACTGGGAATGAGAACAAGAATCAAAACCTAACCCCTTCTGCTGTGAATGTCTCTATGCACAAAATAACTGAGAGTAAAAGATCACAGGCTAATGAAGATCTTTCACTGGTTACTAGGAACAACAGTCAGAAAACACTCACAGAGTCATGCAGGCAGAGAGGAGAAGCTGGTTGCCCTAAACAAAATAAGGATAAAGTGGAAAGTGTATTAAGCCCGACAACCCTATTCCCAGAGGAAATAATGGTTGCCAAAAGTAAAAATTTACAAGCATCTAGTTCTGTGTTTGAAAACAGAAATAAACCTGTCTTCTCCACCAGCATTGCAGCAGACTCATCAGACAATCAAAACAGAACAGATACCAATAAGTCTCACCATCCCCCATGGTTGCCATTTTTACCTGACGCAAACTCAAACAGTTTTATAAATAACTACTTACAGGCAAATATCTGTCCGCAGCAAAAGATGGCTTCCCCACACAAGAGGAGTCACAAGTGGAACCGCCATCAGTCAAGCAGTTTAAAAAATGTGAACTTACACAGTGACCAGTTGCGCGTGAGTCAAGCAAAGAATCAACGTGAACGTCACTTTTCTGAATGCACCTATACACAAGATCCTCAGGACAGCCTGGCCTCTGCTGGCTGTCCTGCTGATTTTATGCCTACAGATAGCAGGAGCAGTAGAAAGTTTAAATCCTATTCAGAGCTGTTGTCTTGTGATGAAAATGAAAACTGGGCTTCGTCCAATGAGAGAAACAGAGCTGTTGGCACTAGACATTTCAGGTATCCCTCTGTTGAGTATGGTATATTTGGAAAAGAGCAACAACTGGCTTTCCTGGAAAATATCAAGAGATCACTCACAGAAGGACGATTATGGAGACCCTGCCTTCTTAAAAACACTAGCTTTGTGAGGGATGAAGAAAGTCACTCTTTAAATCAGTCTGAGCTCTTGAACTTAAGTTTTGCTGGGAGCAAAACGTTAGTAGATGGCTCAAACCCCAGAGAGCCACTTGGCGTCTATCGGGAAGATGCAATGGCCTGTTCAGACTCAGATACCAATACCACCACGGATGATGAATATTACCTGGATGAGAATGACAAAGAGTCAGAATTGTGAGCTCTTGTGATGAAAGATGGAGAATGAGGTTTTGGTGTGTTTTGCTATCTGCAAGGGTATTTTGGTGGTTTCCTGCCTGGTTATAAGCATGTAAAATAGTTTAAATCAGATCCTGTGGTGGTATAAATGAGTGCAGTTCTGTTGACTTAGGTTAACTTATGTTGATTTCTCTTTTTTAACCTGTATTAAAATAATAATAATAATGTAGCCTAACCATAATTATTCATGCAAGCAAAAAACAAAGTCTCACTATTTTTTTATTATATATTTTTAAAGCATGGGAAGATAGTTGTGGAGCCTTTTGTAATAATCAAATACCAGAGAAGGCTTTGCTTCTCAGTGGGAGTTTGACTGGGCTCTTACTGGTTAATGGTACAGTGCGATAATGCAGGGCTGTCCAACTTTGAAGCAGCTGGAGGCCGAGTGCCCCATGGGCTGCACCAGCAGAGGTGGCATGCCTGTGGGCCCCACCAGAGCGAGCGATAGGCATGCCTATGCCACATGCTCCCCCTACCTCTGCTGTACCACTGCCTCCTCCCCATGCACCATCCTCCACTGCTGCATCGGGCACCTATGTGGCCTCAGGGTTGTCTACAGCTCCTCGGACCATGCTGTGCTGCACTGCCCACCCTCTGAGGTGGGGACAGACAGCAAAAGCCAGAGGTGGGAAGGTGAAGCCCATAGACTCCAGCTGCTGTTGCAGCTGCAGCCATGCTAGGGAAAGGAAGCTGAGCAGAAGCCTGAGGGCCACAGCTTAATCCCTCAAGGACTATGTGCAGCCCACAGGCCACCAGTTGGACAGCCCTGCTGTGACGTAGGAAGTTCCAGATTTAGGTGGCAAAATGAGAACCTGTGATTACTGAACAGATGCACCGAGATGGAGTTTCTTAAATACTAAGCCTTCCTGGTGTATTCAGTTTCTCCTCTTCTTTCTTCTTGTTCTGCCACCTCAGGCATAATTTGATATAGATGGGAACGGGAGTCCTACCTCAAAGCCCTGTACCTCTTGTTTCTCTCACACCCTCGCAGTCTTTACAGTAGAGAGTAAGAACGAATGTTTTCTTCCCACAGTCTTAAGGAAGAAGCTGCTTTGAGGCATCTGGTAGGCACAGCATGTTATCTTCAGTTAGATTCCTCCCTGGGGCTTTTCTCATCAATAGCTTTGCAAATAGTGTCAAGTAATGTGTAGGGGTGTAGGTTGTAGCCACGTTGGCAGACAAGGTTCTTTGAGTGAATCTGATATCTTTTATTAATGTGTAGAGAGTGATGCTAAGACTACCCTTTTGTGACACAAGTAGGGGAAAAATGCACTATTCATGCAAGGCAAAAGCCCCAGTGAAGAATGTGGAAAATGTGTGTAGTAACCTTTTGCACTAGAAAGCTGGGTTCAAATTCTGAATCTGATAACAAGTATAGGTAAACCTGGCAGCTTGATTCCTTTTAAAGCATTACCTGGGAGATTCAAGTTTGAACTATTGCTATGTTGTCCTTGTCCAGAAGTAGGTTGTCACTCACACTAATAGCCTGTCATTTTATAGTGTACTAAATTGAATCCAGATGTTTAAAATATATAAATAAATAGGACATAAGTAGGCAGGAACTTGGGTTTTGGCATATGATAGGCACAGCTTCTCCACTTCTTAGTCCAGTTGGGAACTATACAGTACCAGCTCTCAATTTGTAGAGCAACTTTATGCTGCTCAACGTAAAGGTGGGATGTTTGTGACTGAAGATAAGGTAGAGGGCTGCACTCTCTGGCGCCTCGTCTTCCCCTTTTTCACTTGTCCCCTAATCTGAGGCAGGGTGTCCTGGAGAAATCTTCAATACCTGCTTGCAGCAGTTTGTACTGCTTGTATCACTAGAGCAATAGGAAGGGCATTTAATGTGCTGGAAGGATCTGGCTGTTTAAGCAGACAATTTATTTTTGTTTATTTTTAAAAGCTGCAAATTTTCTCATGTGGTAAAGCAAGTTAGGGTATGAGAGAGGGAATACTTTTGGACACTGTATTTTTCTTCCTTAAATTAGCATTCGCTTTTGGTATTTTCCTTGCTAGCTTTCTGTCACAGAACTACTTTTCATCCTTTGGATAGAAGGGCCATTGGTATTTTTCCTGGAGTTGTTCTTATGCCATTATAAGAAATATAGTAGCATTGGCATTTCACAATAGCCGAAATCCATCCCTGGCCCTGAAATCTTTTAAATAAGTTGTGATCTCTTGTTACTAAAAAACACAATGGCTCACTTGAGTCGGAAGCTAATTTTTAAATTAACCATAAAAAAGTTTCTGTTTACCTTTGATTATTTTTACAGCTAACTTCAAGTTTATCTGATTCCAGATTTTTTTCTATTTTTAATTAAATTTGCCTAAAACATAACTGTATTTTTGTAACTGGAAAATATCCTGATATTTTAAAATAATTTATTTTAGGTAAAGTAAGTGATATTTGCATCACTGAATACTCAACAGAACCAATAGAAGGATAAAATGAAAAATAACAATTGGTATGCTTATTTTTCTATATTGTATACTTCGTTAAAGAAGTAGAGCCTTAATCTGAATGTGCGATGTATAAATATTATTGCTTTTACTTTGATATGTTCTTTTATTGTACATAATACTAATATAAACTGTATATTTATGTTCAGAATTATTCTTCATGTGGGAATCTGTTTTGGAAGGATTCAAACATGCATTAATATACACAGTATTGGAAGGAAATAATTGCCATGTAAGTGTAAACTTATAAAATCTGCTGCTTTGTTGAGAAATGCTACATCAGTTTTAATGTAAATAGTTCTGTACCAGATAAACCAGATTCTGTTAAACCACTTCATATTTGGTAAAGATTTTTGGTTGTGATACAGTGTTGAAACGTTTGCCCATAGTGGGGGATGTCACCCTGCATAGGTAGGGCGCCGGCGTCTACGAAACTTGAGGAGGCAACCAGCTGATTTCACAGGCAGATCCCAGGGCCAGCCACCATTTTCACTGGCTGAACACAGCAGGGCTCCCATGCCTCTGATTGCCTGAGTGGCCCTGGCAGTCCTGCTCCTTCCTGCAGATTGCCACATGGAGCAAAACCATGTCTTAATTACCCTGATTATGCTCAGGGAAACCATTAATCCACGTTATTAAGTGTGGATTAATGATTTCCCTGGGCTTAATCAGGGTAATTAAGATGCAGTTGCAGGTCATCCCAAGTGGCAGGTTCCACGCTTTTGGTGGCCTTGCTGCAAAAAAATAAACAATCTTGCTGGCAAGCAAAGCACGCAAGAAGCCCTGCAGTCTTGGAGCATGGGGGAAGGGGGTGGGGAGCTGCTCCCCACCCTCTCCCCTGTCCTTCCCCCTCCGCCTTCCCCCTGTGCTCCGAACTGCAGGGTTTCCTGCACACTGTTCTCTGCTTCCTGGTAAGTTTCGGTGTTTATTTTTTGCAGTGAGCCGGCTCAAAATCGCAGTTTCCATAAAAATCACACAATTGTGATTCTGGTAGGCCCCTATACATAGATTAAACAGCAAAATCAATGTTAACAGGGAAATAGTCATATAACTTTTGCTCCACTAGGAGTGGATTTTTTTAATGCTTATACTTTGTAAATGTTTTCTACCTGTACAGATTTGGGAGTAAAGGTCTTACCCTGGATACGGAAGGTAGACTTTTAATAACTAGAATGCTATATGCATGACCTAAGCAGGAGCCAAACAAAACAGAATATTTTACGATTCTAGTCTCGTGTGGTGGTTTGTCGGTGGTTGAAAGTAATGTGTATATATGATGGGGCTATTTTGGTAAAGTGTACATGGCATTCTGTGGCTAGAACATATTCTGTAAATGCTTATAATTTATAGAATGTAAATACTGAAAATGGCTGGTTTGAAATAAATGGCACTTGTTGCATAATAAATGCTTTTATACTGTGTTTACTTTGCTCCCTGTGAATGCCCCCAAAACATATATAAATAGAGAAAATTAAAGCACATGTTAACTTGTTGTTGTAGAACACCAGTGATGAACAGTGCAAATATTACATTTCAAAGATTTAGGACTGGGCGTGCAACCTTGATGTCATGCAGCTCCAGGCATGTCCACAGATGCATTACAAGAGATGATTAACACCGACTCCAAAAGCTTTCAAACATATGCACAAAGGGGAAGGACTGACCTGAATCCTTTAACTGCCAGGATACTGGCTGGCAGTGGTTAGGGTGAGATCCAGGCAGACACCTTAGGCACCTAAAAGGATACATAAGTGGATAAAAACAAATCAGAAAACTTCTGTCCAATGACTCACCCTGAATGTGGCTATATTCATTCCATACCTACTTTGGGACCACCAAGTTCCCTAGTACATAAACCTGGGCTTCTGCCACTCAAGCACCCTGGTTTCATTAGGTACGTAATTCCCAGCTAAGTTCTGTTATGATTCAGATATAAGGCAGAGCATTGCCTAAACACCATCTAATTATCAAAGGGAGCCCAATCCATCAGGGGTATATTAAGCATACCAAAACAGCACTGAGCTTAGTACAAAACAGAGCAGCCCTTTCACTGAGAGATGGGTGTGGTAGTAGTGATGATGTCCCAGTTTAGTATAATAGACTGCTGCTCAGAGTATTTGCCCATGTAGTGGAAGACCTAAATGTTAGCCCCCTACAACCTGAAGGCACTCAAACCCATGTCTACTTCCAGGAGAGACTGAAGCCCGCTTCAGAATAGTTCCAATCTGGGACACTTAAATTTCACTGCTGAAATCAAGCGATGGCCACCCACCAAGAATGTCCTAACAGTTGTGATTCTGCAACAGGAAAGGGAAAGTCCATTTGTGGTCTAGGCTGCAAAAAGGAAAACCCCTGTTGAAAAGACAACTTTACAGATTTTATGTACTGAAATTTAGCATACAGCCCCTTCAAAAGAGAAGGTGGGTGAGAATTTGTATAGATCTTGCAAGGAAAAAAGAACCCCCCCCCCCCCCCAACCTCCTGGCAGACTAAACCAGTATCAGAGCAGAACATGGCCTGTCACAAACACAAAAACCACAGATTATTCAGTGCATGGGTGTCTTTTTTTGTGGTTTCAAATCAATTGATGTAGACTGTTTGACATAACTTATTTTCTTTTTTTCCTTTCTGAGCTGTCATTGAAACAAATTGCCAGCGCCCTTTTCAGAAAATGATCCATCTTTCCCAATCACACCTCAGCCAGAAGACTCAGTGACAACTAAATGACATATAGTGCAGCTGTGTCTGAATCAGCAATGCCCTTAAACCTTGGTAACCACAGCCAGCCTGTCCAGCATTGTAGTTCAGGAAAAACTTATTTTTATGATGCATACATGAGTGCTTGCACTGTACGTCATTCCTATGAAACAGCATTTTCATTGGCAGTTACACTGTTTTGATAAGGATAAATTTAGGGTTTCTTGCATGTGTAAATTTTAATAGTTTTAGGAGTGCGCACATCTGCAGTCCTGCATTTAACCACAGTGACCCACCACCAGGGACTCGGATTAAATCAGTCCTCTAACCTTCTGGGATGGACTTCTCTTGTTTATTCATTTTCTTACCATTTTAAATATATGGCATTTATTTTGCTATGCCCAATTTTCTTTTTTCCCCAAAGTTATGGCATTTATTTTGCTATGCCAAACTTGTTTTTTCCCCCATAGGCTCCCTTCATTCTTTTTACCTCATCCATGATGGCTCCCAGCAGTGAGGACTCAACAAATGGCTATCCAGATCTAAAGACTATAGGAAGGTGTTCTGAAATATATTTTACTAAAATAGGGTTATTGTTGATGGTGGTTCTTTTACAACTGCTGGTACTTGATAAGCTGATGCAGGACAAAAGGTTTGGTATGTTCTGGAAGGAAATGTTGGCTTTCTTTCTGAACCAGATGTTATTAGCTGCAGGCACAAAGGCTGAGTCATTGTCAAAATTATATGCAAAAGAAAAGATATTATTTGGGTGTAGAGACCAGATTTAGGCCATATATCTTTTAAAACAAGGCCTGCACTATTTAAAATGAGACAGAGAAAATAATCTTGGACCTGGAAAACAGAGGACATGGATTTTATTCAACAGACTAATGATAGTTGTGTGTCAGTAGGTTCCTTGTGCTCTGTAAACCTGCAAAGATGTCATGCCAGATAGCTCTGAACACTACTGCTGCAGTTGTCTAACATACCAGTTGCAACCTTGGAACCTACTGGCATTTGCCAACAGGGAAAGGTTACTGTGGGATCCTCTCTTCCCCCCTTCCTTAACAAATTGATAGTCAAGCTGACAACCTGGGAACTCAGACAGTGGATAGAAATCCTTTGGTGAACACAGCTGTTTCACTGAAAAGACCGCAGTATGCTCACTGAAGATGGTATATTCAGGGCCCATGGTACTGCAAAAAGTTATAGGGGTGAGCCAGGGAATTTGCGACCTGGAAGTCCAATATTTAGAACTGAAACACTGAGCTGACCTCTAAAAACTGAAGGAACTAACTCAGTTGGTTCAGATTTTGCAAAGGGAAATCATGCTTCACTTGAATATCTAACATGTCTGTAACAGAAGGGCTGGAAGAACCATCTTGGGTTTATTTAGACTCCAAAAGTCTTCCGGCATGCCTTGCCTTGAGCTGACCCTGGGTGGGAGACAGACAGCAAAGGACAGGATTTAAAGTCCGTTTGGATCAGGGGTACCCCACAGCCTAGGCATTGTAGGCTAAGTGGCTGATCCGGCCACAAGGGGCTCATTAGGGCATCTGCATCTCCTGCCACGCCATAGTGCCCCGGTGCCAACTCCTCCCCGTCCTGCCAGCAGGGCGCCTGGGCCTCAGCCTGGCCGGCACCGCGCAGCGCGGCACGGGGGAGACAGGCAGCCGGGAACGGGCTGTGCACCCCCTAGGACCTTGTCTGCTGCCACTGCACAGCCCCTCACTGCAGACTAGCTCCCGGCACTGGGGTGGGTGGTCCCAGCACGGGGCTGCTCGCTGCCTGTTAGAAACCCCCCCAGGCTAAAATAACACCTGTCTGTAAAGGCTGCAAAAAGAAAAAGGAGCATCCATAAAAAAGCAAAGCAAGTGTGAACTTGATTGAAGATCCCTAGTTGCAAAGCAGCTGGCGATGGGCAGAGCGGCGCGGCCCGGTTCCCTCGGGACCTCCCCGCCCTCTGCCATGTGCTGCCGCTCTGCAGCGTGGCAGGGGCGGGCGCGGACAGCGGTCGGCCTCTCGGGGGCAGGGCCGAGAC